AGCAACGTAATAGCAATTATAATGCAGCTCTGCAGCGCTTTAAAGCTAGAGCAGCCTAGCAGCTATTATAAGACTAAAAATCAGGCTATTTGCACATGTGGCGGCGTAGATATCGCCCATGGAGGGTGGGCAATGGACATAGGTGGGTATCCAACGCCGCACTTATTCGTAATATTTGGCTAATCAAAGAATGTAGTTGCGAACGCGAGAATTGAGGGTCTTACGACGGACTTGCATATGAGTACGGATTCTTCGACTACACGATAATATTGGAGGAACTGACGACTGCAGCTGGAAACCAATATCTGACCGGCCTGACGCTCTACTTCATTGGCTATGTTCTATTTGAGGCACGTAAAGCCATGCGTTATTGAACACCGAAGATAATCTTCAGTAGATACAGTGTAACGTCATCCTCAAACGCACAACTCCAAAGTTCTAGCTTCCCACCCTGACACTAGCATGGGGAATCGTTGCGACTCTCATGGGTGTGACCCAGAATCTGTCTGGCTTCTCCGCTGTGCGGTTCTTGTACTTTCTTGCTCCGTCGCCCCTTTTCTGCGTTTCACGGCTGACTTCCTAAAGTTTGGGCGTCACGGAGAGCGGCCTATTCCCTGGAGTCGTTTTCTACCTTTCCATGTGGTATAAGCGCGCAGAACGCCAATATCGAATATCACTATTCTTCAGTGCCGCTTCGCTGGCAGGTGCCTTTGGTGGTATTCTAGCGTGGGGAATCGCACACATGAGAAATGTTGGAGGGTATAAGGGATGGCGATGGATCTTCATTCTGGTAAGTAGTTCCTCGACATGAGGTATTTGAGGGCTTACGCTGCCCCAGAGGCCTTCTTACCATTGTTATCTCGCTTATCGCCTACTTCTTCATCTCAAACTATCCTTCGACCGTCAGTTGGCTTTCAGATGATGAGCGGTCTACATTAATGCCCGCCTGAAGGCTGACAGCGATTCGACTCACGACGAGAAGTTTAGCTGGGCTGAGGTGTGGGTCGCTTGCAAGGATGTGAAGTGCTGGCTGTATGGCTTCGCTTTCCACACCATGAGCTTACCACTATACACCCTTTCACTCTTCCTCGTATGTTTTGCTGTCTTGTGTTTGAAGACGGCCCTCACTAACCTCCCCTTTAGCCCACAATTATACAGGACATGGGCTATACATCTGCCCAATCTCAACTTCTCACCATACCACCCTACGCCCTCGCCACCATCTTCACTGTCATCTGGACTGTCACATCCGAGAAAAGTGGACGTCGGGCACCTTTCATCATTGTTTCCTCCCGCTTCGCTATTATTGGCTATATAATTCTGCTTGCCAATACAAATCCCCACTAGCGGCCTGGGGTATCCTACCTGGGCACCTTTTTCGCCGCCGCCGGCATCTACCCCAGCGTCGCCCTGGTACTATCCTGGCCGGCCAACAACGTGTCTGGGCAAACGAAACGGGCAACCGCAAATGCCATGCAAATCAGTATCGGAAACTGCGGCGCGGTACTTGGAACGCAGCTTTACCGACCGATCACTTCTCCGAGATACGTGCTTGGGCATTCGTTTGCACTCGGGTATCTGGTGATGAATATTGTTGTCGTTAGTAGGCTATGGTATATCCTTAGTTGGGAGAACAAGAAGAAGCAGGAGCACCTAGAAAAGTACCCTGAAACGAAGGGATTCCACGATTCTGATGAGGATTTGATATTGGGGGATCAGCACCCGAGGTGGCACTTTAATACGTAATGCGTCGATTGCGGGAGAATTAGTCTCCGAGGTAGCGTACTGTCATTATATAGACATGATATACAAATCTGTTGTTATCTAGAGCTTTGTTCGTGTCCTTCCACCTCGCCCTCTCGAAAACGACCACTTGGAGACCTCAATGTCTACCCATGCCTTACTATCTTCTCACTAAATCTAGCCTCTATTGGGCAAGTAGTCTATCCTCTAAACCATTTCCGTCAAACCCATCATTCATATTTTGGGATTTGGATTTGTCATGTGGCCCTGGCAGTGACTGTCACGAGATGCGACAGGAATTTATCTAGAGGTAGGTTATAATTCAGATGACTTTTGCCCTACTCTGCGCTCTACGCTCTTCGTTTTACTTCGCCTTCGCCTTTACCACTACCAAGTGCTCACGGCCCGTAAGTAACTCCCCAAGCTGCCAGATGATGCTTGCTCGAAAACTACTGTCATAGCATTAGCAGTTCCTGGCGATCTACCTAGAAATTTGTGAAGGTTAATGACGCCGTGCCATCCTCTACCCCTTACTCGAACAAGGATCCTCGTAAGGTTGCATCCTTCAAGCAGTTGATTAGCGCAAATTAAAAGATGTCGTGCCTACATCTTTAGGTTATTTCCAAGTCCACATTGTCCATTTCATGCCTGAAGGCTCGAAAAGTAGCCGGGAAGCGACATAATAGAAACTGCGTTGATCACAGCCTCAACCTGATTCACTCTCGCGAAGACGTCGTGGAAGCTTTGCCACAAGCCCTTGTTTGGGGAAATTACTGCAGGAAACCAATTAGACAATTCAGCAGAAGTTACTGCCCTCCAAATCTCATCGGCTAGCGAAACATCTCCTGTTAGCTTGTCTACAATTTTGGCGCAGACGTAGATATTTCTGATACTAACAGAGAGGCGAGGCATTCGGTATTCAGCATCTTAACACTCAGGCGGACGCGTTTTCTTGTTCCATTGGTTACCGAAAATTATTCCGAGTGATTATCAATGATCTGTTTTAGTAGACTAGCAGTGCTTTGCAAATCAGCTAACTTTTCCTCTCCGAGTGGCCCCTAGTAGCTAGAATTTACCAAAAACAGCTAAGAGACTTCTTCGAGCATTTTATCAGTGCTGGCATGTTTCTCGGACTTTTATAAGTTAGTTAAGATATGGTGGCGGAGGTTGGGAAAGCTTTGTGCACACGAAAATACCTGTGCGAGAACCCAGCCCGAACGGGGAAGCTTGGCAATTGGAGGAATAATTGACGCCACCGTTAGCCACATTTTATGCGCCACAATATGGTTGAGACCATCGCGAGAGGGGGCTCTCATCCTGAGTCAAATTAGTCCGCAAAAAGGGATAGAGAAATCTTAAAAGATAAAACCATTTAAGATGGAATCAACCCAGGATCTTGGCCTGTGTTCAAGCTTTCCTTGGAGTCGGGCACAGTCTCACAAATCAAGATGAAGGCTGCAAGTACGTGAATAGGATGAATTACGACTAATAGATTTTATGCTTACCTTTCACTAGTATCAGCTACTCTGTTCGTCATTGCGCTCGCCCATTCGGTGGCAGCTGCTTCCAAATCTACTGTGGCAGAAGCGTCGTGCGTTGCGACCACATATGCAGATGTAACTGCTGCAACGGCTTCCTGTACTGCCATTACACTCAACAACATTACCGTTCCCAGCGGCAAGACTCTCGACTTGTCGAAGTTGAAGAATGGGACTACCGTGACCTTCGCAGGGAAAACAGTAAGTCGTCACTAAGCGACTTTGAGTTGCTATGCTAAATGATATCCTCGTAGACCTTCGAATACTACGATGGAAACATCGACCTCATCAAGCTTGGAGGAACTGGAATCACCGTGACTTCAGCACCCGGCGCCATCATCGATGGAAACGGGCAAGCTTGGTGGGACGGCCTCGGCTCAAACGGAGGCATCTCGAAGTAAGACTATCACATATCCCTTTGCATCACTTCTAATTTGACGAATACCAACTAGACCAAACCACTTCATAACCGTCAGCAAAGTCTACGGCGCATCGGTCATCAAAGACCTCTATATCCAGAACTGGCCTGTGCATTGCTTCTCTATCTCGAATTGCAAAGACCTTTCTATTTTCAACATCACGTTGAATAATACCGCGGGATATGCGCCGAATAGTCGGTCTAATGGGAAGGCTGCTGCGCATAATTCTGATGGGTTTGATATTTCTAGCTGCACGAATCTGACATTGAGGGATTCAAGCGTTACGAATCAGGATGATTGCGTGGCGGTGACTTCTGGGAATGGGGTTACGGTGAGAGGAATGTATTGTGATGGGAGTCATGGGTTGAGTATTGGGAGTGTTGGGGGGAAGAGTAGTAAGTCTTTCTTCTCTTTTAGAGCCGGAGCTGGAGCTGATGGAAATTCAAGACAACAATGTCACGAATATCCTCTTCGAAAATAGTGTCGTGGTGAACAGCGATAATGGCGCAAGAATCAAGACGAATTCGAACACGACCGGTTACATAGCAGGGTACGTATTTCACCCCTTCATATCATCTCACCCCATATTCTTGCGCATGCTTACTGTTTGAAAGAATCACATACCGCAATATCACGCTCGCAAACATCAGCACCTATGGTATAGACATCCAACAAGACTATCTCAACGGCGGTCCAACCGGGATCCCTACAAACGGCGTCATCATCACTAACATCACGATGGAAAATATCCACGGCACCGTGCAAAAGAAAGCAAAGGACTATTACCTACTTTGTGGGGAGGGATCATGTTCGAATTTTACGTTCAATAATATTTCGATTTCGGGTGGGACAAAGGATAGTTGTAATTTTCATCCTACGGGGAACTTTATATGCTAAAGCGCCGCTACCCAAACCCCAACCCGTCCCATAGAATAACTACATTCTCCAACTTTGTGTAAGCATAAGAGAAGATAGCACTTGCGTCGATAATGGCTGGGCTGCGCTTCGTTAATACACTTGCATGCAGGGGTTCCCCACCATCCATATTACCCCGGATTCTTGAGGCTATTTGTACCCCAGAACGTACTATGGAACAGCGTTTCGCATCCCGAACTTTTACGCAGGTCGACCAATGTGTGGAAGATAGGAACTCCTCATGAATTCGGTGCTTTATTCTATGCATTCCCTTGCAGGCCACCTCACACCACCCACTCACATGTTATTCATGTAATTGGGGCATTGATATGACTGCGTGTTCTTGTCGACGCTGATTTCTCGTCAGTGAGTTCCATCGCGATTGTGTGTGAGATGGGGAAGCAAACGCGAAGTAAAGAGCCACTGGCAAAGACGGTACAAATACCTTCGTTATCGTTCAACGCATCTCTGACTGACCGGTACTTAGTCCAGGCTTACCTCCAGAGCCCTTTTCTTTGCTCTCCCGCTCGCGATTCCAGCAGCGTTATGGTCTGGTCGCGTTCAACAGCTGCTGCCGACGCGATTACAGACCTTTCTCTCGACGGCACCGAAACTAGACACAGCAACAGCAGTTATTAGTCCATCGCTAGAAGCTGTACCTTATGATTGCGAGGCACATAAATACACTACTGAGATCGTGTCTCTGGATCCCCTGGTGATATACATCAACAACTTCACCAGCACGCAAGAAGCGGAAAATCTTATTAAGGCCGGGTGGGTACACCCTCCACCATTGCTCTCCCCCTCAACTACCCCCCAACCTCTCCCCTCAATCCCTATCCTCCAGAATTCACCTCCCCACTAATTCCCTCTCCAGCGAACCCGACTTCGAAGACTCTTTCATATCCCGGCACACCGGTCTCCATCGCGTCAGCGGCCGAACTTCTCAATCCGCACCCCTCGAACCCTCTCTCCCACTCGTATCCTGCATTCTCTCCCGCGCCCGCCAATTCATGGGCAACATGCTCCTGCCCTCCGAGCCCTTTTCCATTCCGCAAATCGTCCGCTACTACCCTAAACAACGCTACGACCTGCACACTGATTTCTGGCCCCAGCATCAAGTCATGAATGACGGCTCGGGCCGGCTGTTCAACCGTGTCGCGAGTTTTTTTGTGTTTTTGAGGGATAATTGTACGGAAGGGGAGACGTACTTTCCCCTCGTTGACGTACTTGACCGGGACGCGGAATCCAATGGAGGGTCTGGGAAGTTGGTGAAACGCTGGGAAGGCCGGGCAAGTAGGGGAGAAAAGGATGGGGAGGCATTGGGGGTCAAGTTTAAGCCGATTCAGGGGAATGCGGTGTTTTGGGTTAATTTGGATGGGGAGGGGAAGGGGGATCGTAGGTTAGTGCATGCAGGGTTGCCGGTGGGGGAAGGGGAGAAGATTGGGATGAATATTTGGCCGAGGAAGATTTATGGGGTGGAGGATTGAGGGGGAGGTGCCGGGAAGGAGGATAGGTGTGGATATCATTCGTTCTTGAAAAGAGATTTTTCTTGGAATGTAGTGGGTTGAGGGCTGGAAATGTTCCTATTTCACGACGACGGTGACTTTCAAATAGCAGTACTCTTTCCTTGCATCGGCGAAGCCGGGTGATGAGACCAGGCCTGGCACGTGAACCAGCTTATCGATTGATTTGCCGCACATCAACGGGGAGACAATAATTAAAAAAGCCACCTCATCCGCTTCATACTCGACCTTTTGGTCTAGCTGAAATTATTCCATATTAGCGGAGGCAGCGATGGCGGTATATCTTGTCTAGCAGATGTATCCATATGGAGTAACATGGAGATAATCCTGACCGATAGGCACAAAGAATCTCTCTTTGACACACACACTACCATAGATATTGTACACCTTAGGTTGAGCTTAAATAGGTACACCATGTAGTCGCGCCAGCTTCGCCGCTTCTTCCGCCGTACATTCCTCGTTGAGGATTTGCGCGCTAAGGGTATCTCTTTTTGGGAACGAAAGCTATCCACACCCTTCATACTAAGATGACAGTTTCCTGCCAGTACAAGTGTGGGCTGCGTACTGTTTGACTCCGACAGAGCTCCAAGAATGCTAATTCGAAGACATAGCATTTCACTTACCTCTACAGCGAAGTGGAGTTATCCGAGTGACGATCATTTGCGACTCGCACGTGTCCCTTCTTTGGTCAACAATGTAGATCGCTTTGCGCTAGGAATCGGTTCGTACCGTTCTCTACGAGCTCGTGACATTTTTGGTGCAGAAGGCATTGTGTCTATTACTGGAGTTTGAGTAGATGCTTGATAATATGAGTTGGGTTTTGGCTTTCCATCCGTATTGACGACTGGCAACCTTTATTTGGGAAAGACCCCACTATCTTTCTTGTCCTCCTTCGAATTTGCGTCTCAGCATTCGTAGCACACTTCTCTTTAGAAATCTCCTTGGGTCCTGCCATCACGAAACATTACTCTATAGCACTGGTCAACAATATTTCCGGGAGTACAATAGAAATTGATGGAGCGCCGGTGGTTCTCCTATGCTGAATCATATACCCGTTCTCTATGGTTAATGGCTCAAGTAGCATAATTGAAAGTCAAACGGTCTTTTTTGATGACATTAATGTACAGGGCATAGTCAGAAACCTAAAAATATGCAGAGTTTAATCATGGCCAAATCGCAACCCCTATAAAACGTTCTACAGTCTTATTCCAGCGATTTATAGCACCAAGAATCTTGCTGATACGGATGCTCCGTCCTATCATCCAGACATTGCGTTTGCAGCTCCACATTTGAACACCGTGCAGGTGTCTCCTCCCCTGCCTCGCGGTAATACAGCGCAATAGCAAGACCATACACGAAATTCGATTTGCAAACGTAAAACTCTCCCGTTCCATAGACCACCCTCGGCCCTTTCCCCATCATCGGAAACGACCCATCAGTCTTGACTTGCACGCCAGAGGTACCGGGTCCGCAGTTGATGTACACATTTCGCCGACCTTGATTGTCCGTCGCATTGGGAGCACTGACGATAAGACCCCATGGCAAGAAAGGAGAGCCGTCATCAGAAAGGAGATTGGAGGTGTGGGTTGAGAATTCATCTGCGGTGCCGTTGGCGTAGAACGTGCGGCCAGTACCGCTTGTGAAAACGGCGTAGTTGTAGCAAGCGCCGAAGTGGTAGTGGGTTAGATTCCAGCCTTGGATAGCGATGAGGGAACTAGAGGATGAAAGTTTGGCGGTGATGGCGAAATTGGGGGCTTGTGCAATGGCAGCAGTGAGAGAGGCGATTGGGAGGATATGGAGGGGATGCATGATGTGATATGTGGGTTGCGTAATATGGATTCGTAAGTGCAGAAATGAGCTTGAACGAAGGATGAGGTTGATGGTTGAGGAGAATGAGATGTAGTTTTATAGAGGCCAAAAGAAAGAACGGACAGCGCTAGACGGTATGGCCACCCTCGTGTAACCAAGGCTCAGTGGTAATAGAAGTGGCACAGAGAACTATAATTTTCCCCATGGAGCAAGATGCGCCCAAACCCAGAACACAAATACGAGCGTAGTTTTTTAAAATGAAGTGATGATTTGATGGAGGAAAAGAAAAATTGAAGAGTAGCATCAGCCAGTGACATGTTTGGGCGTGTGTGGATATTGATCGACGCATCATCTCCCCACGGATCCCCGAAACCGTTGAGAATGCGATAGACATATGAAAAAAAAAGTTTTCGATACTACAATTCCTAGTAAACTCCAATGAACCCAGTGTTTTGCTGCGCTGCTCCAATGGCTGCCTTGAGGATATTGGTTGACGGCGATGCTAAATTCTGATGATTTTGGGAAGCAGGGGGGGTCTCCATGGGGTGTTCGAGAAAAGCGAGGCTGGAGAGTGTAGTTACTTAGCACGGATCCAATCAGTAACAAGATCACGGGATGTAGGCTATGCACTATTACTTGAACTCATGTGCGCAGAGATGAAGGCCTGGCAGAGTGCCTCAGGATCTGGTGAAGCTGCAAGCTGAAGTGACATGAAGGGCAGGGGAAGGTACGTGTGCCAAGCCGCGACCGGGAAAACCACGGGCCGACGCGCATTCTTGGCGCTTGAGCTCACCTTCACGTCGCTTTAACAATGCGATCCTATTGACAGGCTCCCACAAATGTCTGTGGAGGGACACTCCACATCCTCCAACCTCCGCTGCATCTGTAACTCTCACGGTCAACATGTCGACTGTCGAGGTCGAGACAGACGACCCCTTGTCTGGAGGCTTTACTGTACTGAAGCAGAAACTGGACCTCGACGTCAGCTTCTCTCCTCGCCTGATTAAGGGAGCCACCACGCTCGAAATCCAGCCGCATTCGCCGCAACTCAAGGAAGTTCGGTTAAACTGTCGGCAGCTCAAGCCCACGTCCATCACAGTCGAAGGCCGCGATGTAAAGCCCGAATACGACGACTTGTACCAACGCCTGCGTTTACATCCCGGTACAGGCATCGAACAATACCACTTCCCCAAGGCCCGAATCGCCCGCCATGTCTCAGGAATTGAGGACGAACTCATTGTAAATATTCCCGATAGGCTTATTCGAGAAGTCGACTCTCCCACCAACGAACACCCCGAACAAAAGTCGTATGCTTCGTTACAGATCACAATCACGTACACCCTGGACACCTTTCGCGACGGCTTCCACTTCGCTGGCGTGGATGATGGCGATGCGCGGTATCCTCACGCTTATACGCGCAACTCGCACATTCCCGGTGCAGCATCCTGCCTTTTCCCTTGCGTTGATGATGGAACCACTCGGTGTATCTTTGATATCAGCATTCGATACCCGCGGACATTGGGCGATGTGTTCGGAAAATCTCGACTTGCGCTTTTCGCCGGCTCAGGACGTGTGGACGGGATTGACAAGGCCGATAGTGTCGTGAGCGACGGAGATTATGATCCCGTTGATTTCTCCGACGAAGAGAAATCGATGGAGATGTCGGTCATTTGTTCTGGCGAGTTGACTGATGATGTAGGTTTCTTCACTTCACTCGCTCGTGCTTTACTGACATGACAGATCTCCCATCCTAGCGACTCTACCCGGAAAACTGCGAGCTTCACATGCGCAGTCCCCGTCCTTCCCGGCCATGTCGGTATCGCAATCGGACCGTTCGAGCATGTGGACCTGTCCGAATACCGCGACACACAGGACGATGAGAGGCTTGGCTCCAACGCCATAAGAGTCCACGCCTTCTGTCTCCCGGGAAGAGCCGAGGAAGTCCGCAACAGTGCCATGATGCTTGCCCGCACCCTCGATAGGTTCACGGAGCGCTACGTGAGCTACCCCTTCGAGAAGGCCTTCAAGCTTGCCTTTGTGGATGACCTCGGTTGTGACGTTGCGAACGCCGCTTCCTTTTCTATTTGTAGCTCTCGACTCCTTTACCCGGAGACTGTTTGGGAACCTCTGGAAAAAACGACTCGAGTTCTAGTTCACGCTGTGGCCAGCCAGTGGATAGGCGTGAACGTGATTGCGCACAACTCAAGCGATCAGTGGGTTATTGTTGGTGGTTCGTGGTTCATGACGGATTTGTACCTGCGCGAGCTATTTGGACGCAACGACCACCGCTTTCGCCTCAAGAGGATGGTTGACAAGGCCGTACAGATGGATAGCCGCCGGCCGTCATTATTTAGGCTCGGCGAGCTTCTCGTCTTGGATCCTGCGGAACAAGAATTCATGGAGCTCAAGGCGCCTCTCATTCTCTCAATCCTCCACAACAGGCTTGTTAAGCAGAGCGGCAAGAATGGCGTGGACCGCTGCCTCTATCGCCTACTTATGAATGCTCGTACCGAAAAACTGCCGAACGGCGCAATCACTACGGATGGGTTCTTAGACATCTGTGAAAAGGTTGGCCACCAGAAGCTTGAGAAATTCTACCATCAATGGATATACGGCTCTGGATGTCCAACATTTCAGATCTCGGCAAGCTTTAGCAAGAAGCGGCAAGCAGTCCAACTCACTATCAAGCAAACCCAGTCCGATTCAACATTAAGACACGATGATCGTCCTCTAGAGGTCACCGACTTCATGAGAGAGGCTAAAGAAAGGTCTCATGGCTTTACCCCAAGCTCGGATAATCCTGCCTTCAACGGACCTATGACTGTTAGGATTCACGAAGCAGATGGAACACCGTACGAGCATATTGTGGATATCAATTCCTCTTTGGTTAAGGTTGAGATTCCCTATAACACTAAGTATAAACGTCTTAAACGCAATAAACTCCTGAAAGAGCGAGCCGCTGCCGCCGAAGGCCGGGACATCACTGGCGAAGCCCAAGATGATGTTACTATCTACGCTCTTGGAGACATTTTCAACACAATTGCCGAGGCTACTGAATGGAAGCTCTCTGAGTGGTCCCCAGACGATGAAGCTCGGATGGATGAAGAGTACTACGAATGGATTCGAGTGGACGCGGATTTTGAGTGGATTTGCCGAGCTACCATTGTCGACATGCCGTCCTATATGTATGTGTCGCAACTCCAGCAGGACAAGGACGTGATAGCCCAAGCAGAGTCTATCCAGTACCTAGCTCTCAAAGAAGGGCACCCCCTCATATCCAGCATTCTAGTCAGGACGCTAATGGACGGCCGATACTTTCACGGCATACGTACCATGGCTGCCGACGTCATGGCCAACAGTGCGAAGGAGCACCTTGACTGGATAGGCCTCTTCCATCTTGAAAAATCTTTCCGGGAGCTTTTCTGTATCCCAGGTTCACCCATGACTCGATCGAACGACTTCTCCGACAGAAGCATGTACATTATTCAGTGCGCCATTCCTCGGGCAATTGCTAAGGTCAAGGGGAATGACGGAAAAGCGCCCATGCGAGCGAAGCGATTCTTGCTTGATGCGATGCGCTACAATGACAACCGCGGTAACGACTACAAGGACGACTACTATCTTGCGACGCTAATGTCCTGCCTTGCCCAGAGCCTCACGGCTGACTGGAAACGTCGCGGTAATGACTACTTTGCCATGGACATGGAGGACGAGGCAGACGAAATCGAGTTCACAAGAAAGGCAATTGAGGAACTTGGCCGGGCGCAACGGCTCGACGAATGGGTTCCAACTCATCGGAATATCCACACGTTGACGGCAATTAGTGACTCTCTGGTGTTGATGCGAAATAAGATCTTGCCGCCCAAGCCTTCGGAATTTCTGCAATACGCAAAGGCGGGCAATGCGGATAACGTGCGTTTGAAGGCCTGGGACGCGCTGATTGAGATGGGAATGGCCAAGAATTCCAGCATTCTGCTCCTCATGTTGGAGGAAATTGCATCCGATCCCTCTCCTTACTTCCGTGGCGAACTCCTCCGCGTGTTTGGCAAAGCCGTTGGACAAGTCGCCATCAACGAAGTACCTGCCTCTGAAAGGTCTGTGCGCGCCGTCAACGACTCACTCGTGGTCGAGGAAGAGCAAGGCATCACTGAACGAGAATTGGAACTCGCCAGAAAGACACTCTATGGAGCTCTAGCGGGTCTGAAACAAGACATGAAAGCAGACGCGGCGTTCCGGAAGGCATTGGAAACAGCACTCACATCGACCACGACATCTCTTCGAGACATCTCGGAGCTGTTGGAAGTTGCAAACCTCGTCTATGCGCCTGTCGATAAGCTCGAAGTGCGGGTTTCCTTGCCGCGCTATTGGGGCTTGCAGAATCTCGGTGGCGGGAAGGTACGGTTTTATCGGACGAGTAAAGTTAGACTTACACCAAGGGCCCCGAGGATGCCGGCTGTGCAGACTGTGAAGGAGAGACCGGCACCGAAGAGACAGCGTACGATGCTTAATCTCTCATTCAATCAACCTCCACCGACGGTGGCGGCCGCACCTATGCCAGTGCCAGCCACCGCACCAGCTCCGGCGACAGTACAAGTGCCTACGCCTGTACCCTTACCAACTCCCGTCATTTCAAAAGCTGTATCGCTACCGGTTCCAGTTCCAGTTCCAGTTCCGGCTCCGGCTCCGGCTCCGGCTCCAGTTCAAGTTCCAGCTCCAGCTCCAGCTCCAGTTCTAGTTCCAGTTCCAGTTCCAGTTCCAGCTCTAGCTTCAGCTCCAGCTCCAGCTCCAGCTCTAGTTCCAGTTCCAGCTCCAGCTCCAGCTCCCGTTGTAGTTCCAATTCCAGTTCGAGCACCCATGCCAATCAAACTCCGAATTCCAACCCCAACACCCGCGCCCGCATCCACCCCAACCATCACACCAACTCCGCCTCCTCCCGCTCCCACGGCAACTGCATCCCATAAACCAAAGACTAAGACGAAAGCAAAGCCACACAAGCCCCAACTCATTGTTAAACTCCACCTCCGGCCCGACAAACTCGCTCTCTTTAAAGTCTCAGATCCGCCAGCAAAGAAGCGTAAAGCATCCGATCTTTCCAACCCTCTGGACGTCAATGAGCGTCCGTTGAAGAGGCAGGCTAGTGTCGAATTATTGGGCAATAGTGGGTTGGTTAAGCAGGGGAGTGTGGATACTGCGGGTACGGTGAATGCGAGTGTCAGCGAAGGGACTCGTGGTATGCCGGCGCCGCCGCAGAAACGCTTGTTGCTGAAGTTGAAGATTGGAGAGAAGGCGAGGGCTTTTTCTTCGGGGTAAGGGGCAGGGGCGCGGGAGGGGGAAATGAGATGATAGATGGGTGGGTGGTGGGCCGGCAGATTCTTTGGGGTGTTTCTCTTCTTCCTTCTCACCTGCGCATTTGCGGCCTAGGTTTCGGTGTTTTATAGCTGGCTAGCTGGTTACTCTATCTACTTGGGAAAACATGGGGCTGGAGTTTCGGCGGTACGCATGCATGGCACAGTTGATTGGTGGGATTTATCTCTCTGCATTCATCTAGCGATGGCGTCTATTTTATATACCTACTTATTGTGGCTGGGGATTGGCATTGTGGGATTGGGAAATACCCTGCGTGAAGAAACCCCCAGGATTTAGGTAGAATAATTGATCCTACGGCTTTAGCGTCTATGTTTTACTTCTTACTGAGCTTAGGCTACTGCGTTCCTTTTGAGAAACTTGATAGTCCTTGATTCCTATGCAAGTAGAGTTAACGATAGAGAGGGGTTTCTAGCTCAAGCACCTACCTGCAAGGAGTGGAGATGATTGTAAATGCAGGTAAGTGTTTGATTGTGTACCCATAATTAAAGAATGAAGAATCGCTAATGGCCTCTAGAACCTATCAAATATGAGACCTCTGATGGGTAGGAACGTCGAAATCGGCGATCGCATCAATTCAAAAGTCAAGGCTGAGGCAACATATGGCTTAGGTATCACGTGGTCACATGACACCGTGTCCAGCTCGCGACTTCATACATTCTAAGACAACGCTAACACTTGCACGCACACACATGCTAGACGGAAGGGGGGGAAAATTTGGTATCATGAATCTAGCTACTAAGCTACTACTATGTCACTAAGGGGAAAGATATACCTTGTGGGATGGAAATGGTATCGTTTAATTCGTAGAAACCCGCTTTTTGGGACACCAGGCTAAGAAGCGTTGACCACATCCATAAGATTCGGAAATCGAACTCGTAAGATATGCTGGAGCGGAAGGAGGACCTTCTTTCCGTGGACAAGGTGGCAGACGTCCCTTACACCAAACAGATTTCCTTGGTTCGTGAGACGGTACAAATGGCTTCCTCCTCCTCTTTGTTCGTGTAGCTGTAGACGTGATGATGTATTCTCTCTCTCTCTATTTGATGTTTCACCCACCGCCTGCGGCGCTCTCAGCAACAGGTCTGCGGGGGTCAAATAGTCTCCATGGTGGCGTCACCTGACTGTTCGGACATAGAAGGCTCGCTAGCTCCAGCTAAGGCTTCCTTATCTAGGACCCATTCATTTCCCTCCTCTTCCTCCCTTTCCTCGTCGACATCCTCTTGCTCTTCTTCCCTATTGATGACTGAATCCGGCGATAACTCCTTCTGCCTCCTCGGTAAAGCCTCCCTCGCCAACGATGACGCTTCACCGTCCACCTGAATATTATCATCGGTCTTAATATCCTCCTCCTTCGCAGCCACACTAATCTCCGCATTCTGTCCACTGTCTTCAATATCTTCACCACATTTCAGACACCTCAGCGGCGCTTCCCAAGTCTTCTTCCCCTGGTTCGGTCGCTCGTCCGTGATGATCATTTGTACCTTCTCCGACTCCAACATAACTACCTGCGCGGAGAAGAACAAGTCTTCCGATATCCTGGCAGGTTGGAAGGTGCTAGCAGCCCTTCCCGTCAGGACTGATTTCTTCCGTCCACGTTTGGTCGGTGTGCCATTGGCAGAAGTTATGCCCGACGATCGACGGCGTTTTTTGGAATTCGCTTGTGAGGCCGAGGGCGTGGTTGGTTGGCTGTTGGTGGGCTCTTGTTTTCCTAGTCCAGCTGAGGCACCGGAATGGATGTTGTGGGATTTGTATTCGTTGTCGATGGCGTCGTTCTCGAGACAGGGACCGTGGAGCCAGGTGTTGCAGTGGGGGCATTGAATGAGGAGCTTGTCAGGGTTGCAGGGTGTGTTGTCGATGCAGTGGGTTGGGAGTTCCTGGATCTGGTTAGCGACTGAGACTTGAAGATTTCAGGGCAGATAGGCAGACACACCGAAATGACGGTTTTGCCTTTTAGCTTCGGGTTCTCGAGACCGGGCACGACATTCAACGTCTGCCGCCAGAACAGCTGGTTCGGGTCCAGAACTTCATTTTGGTTGCTTTGTTCGACCCAATGCTTCACCTCGGCCTTCGAGTCGACGGTTGTGGCGTCGACTATCTGCATGTAGTTGCTGGCGATCAACTCGTTCTCTCCGTGGTATGGCTGACGGCCCTTGGGAAGATCCTCGGGTCGGTACATCCAATATACGCGCAGGAAGACGTGTTGCTCGTCTCCGGCGCGGACTTCGAGGACTTTGGCGACCCAGCCTTTGACAGTTGCGTTAGGGTCTGGGTCCTGCTCTTCACTTGCTTTAATGAAGACGAAGTCATCGACGGAGAAGGTCTCTTTTAAGACTGCACGAAGAGATGGCTGGTTAGCAGCTACTCTCGCTGCGCGAGAAGACAGTGGACTCACTGGTGAACTTGCGATAGCGCGAAGTCGCCTCCCAGTACTCTGCAGGCAGAATCTCATAATTGAGGTCCGGCAACGCGGATCCGGGGAAAGGATTGAATTGCTTGAGATTGCCATTTTCGTCCAGATTCTCCTTCAGTTTCGAGTTCTTGTGCAGTTCCGTCTCGGCCAACTTCCGCTTCTTGCTCGCCTTTTCTAGCGTCTTAGGATGCGGGAAGTTGATGGTGAAGCCGGTGAAGCCGGTTGCGTCAAGGGCTGACCAGTCTACTGGCCCGGGCTTGGGGACTTTGGCCTTTGCTCTCCTGAGCGTCGGCTGCGGGGTGTCGGTGCTGGATTCTAGGGCGGGGCTCGAGACGTCCTGGGAGAGGTACTGAGGAGGGCTTTTACTTTGGCGGGCCATGGCAACGGCTAGTTTGACACCTGGTCTGCTTCGAGTGATGAGCACTGCTGCAGCTCTGGCGGGGCTCTGGCGGAGCTCTGGCGGAGCTCTGGCGGAGCGCTGGCGGCGGCGGAAAAGGCTCCTGACGCGACTCAAGCTCTCGCCACTGCGAGGGATGTTGGTCGCGCTAGATTGACCAGGGAGAGACTAGCTGAGCCTTCAGAGGACGATTGGCGACGCAGAAACTTGATGACGGTGAATGCTGCGGATCAGAAGACTGCTCCGATAGTTCGGGATTAGCGCGCCAAGACTACATGTCATCCCTTCATCATTCACTTTTAGACTGTTCAAGTTTCGTCGTGCTCGAATATTCAATTCCGTATTCTCATTTGATGGCTTACTATCAACAGTATGTCTGAAGTAGAGGGAGAGTTGAATCTAAACAAAAAATAAGCGTGCTGTTGTATTCTATTATTAGCATACTGATCATATCCGGTAACCTCCAGAGTTTCCAAGGCTGGAACGCTTGCATCTTCACATCTCAAATGCTACCCCAGACAGCTGGAACTCGGCACCACAGGGAACTGCTTACCGAAGGCCTATTACCTCAGCAGAAAACCAATAATGAACGAAGAAGCCCGACTCGTTCGCGAGACTGGTCATGTATGTGGCAGGCTGTGAGCCATCAAGTCGCGGCGACAGACCAACGCGTCTCCTTCTGGCTTCATTACTTCTCTGGTAGTCTGTTTCTTTTACTCCACCTCTCGTAACATAGCAAATGGGTCGACGCACTATTCCCGCCGACACCTTCCCTCCAGCTCTAACATCATCGCCTACTGTTCTTCCCATCAATATGAAATAGTCATAGCCACTATCCAATGGGCTGAAGACTGAGCTGACAAGGGAAGCGAGAGGAACTGTTTCTTGCGCCCGAGCCCTGACCAAGAACGAGATCGCCATCTAGCTGGTCTACTGTGTGTGCAGAGAATGCGGCGCTTCTATAGCCACTAAAGGACCGCGATCAATTGTAATTAATGCACTATAGGAAGGCGAGTTTATACTACCTACGCCATATCTTGTGTGCTGTGTTATACGGTATCAACGGAAGGGTACGTCTAATCGCACGAACTTGGTGTATGGTGAATGCAGCCGAAGGAATGGTAGGTAAGCGCTGACGAGCATGCTCTTCCTCAATGACAAATGGGTTATGATATTTTCGGATTAGAAGGAGCTTTGGCGTTACGGTTAAAATAAACGAGAAGAACTAAGCTGTGTTCCTGAACAGCTGCAAGAAGGATTATGGCATAGATATGCAGTCGAATGTAAGTGGAACCTTTATGTGGTCCTCATGTATATCTTCAAGTTTTTGGGTGTGACTGAGTGATGGACAAAGTGCTTGTATTGTAATGGGAAGTACGATTGAAAGGTCTAAGAAGTCTTGGGGTTGAAGACAAGGAGGGAGATCTACAAAAGGCCCGTGGGTGGAACACTACGGCAGGAAGAGTGGGATAGAGATTGAGGAAGGACAACGGTCGTAGAATAATTTGGTGAAATCGGAAGGGAGCACAATTCGGATATCAAACAGAGCTTTCTTTGGGAAGGAAATGCGTAGATTGATTGATGAGGACGGCTGAGGTGTGTCTCGTCAGCTGTACGGCGAACATTTTGGATCTCTTGGGTAAAATATTATAGAAGGTAATGCTCTAAACCTAACGTCTATCCCTGGGTCGCGCAAATCCCCCCGTGCCGCAATTATTCCACAGATTTGACATCTTAACTATCCCCACATATCTTCTATCGCTCTATTATACTATATAATTATTCCATGAACTTTTCTCTGTGGAATGAGGGCTTGCGGCAAAAAATTACTTGGTGTTGAGCTATACTGTCGCTTGTGCTTTCTAATCCACCGGAAGCTGCATTAGCTTTACACCCCTACCTTAACACTATAGCTCGAGGCATTTCATATATCGGAATGATAGCTGGGTAGACTAATGATAGAAGAATATATTCTGAGTTTCTTACAGATGCTTGATCTTGATAAAGTACATTCTAGATTTGTCTGTGAACAAGACTCAATTCTGAGCCTCAGCCCGCCAAGTTTAGCGTGCTTACGTTAACCCTTAGTATACTGTATCATATCTCATCCTTGGACTAGCCCGATGTATCAAGGTGTATGGCGCGTTTCTCGAAGCATCTATGATAGTCACGTGAATTCTATTATTGGCACCAGCGGGTTCCTTCCAGGTAGTGCGGTTGAAGCTGTCGCGCTGGCCTTTATGGCAGCCATCATAACACCACGGTAGACATGGAACCGGCTAGCCAAGTGCTGGCGCAAATTGACCCTATAGATGTACCTGCAGTCTCGGCTTGCCCTGTAGGGAACAAAGAAGAGATTCCCTACCATACTTAGTACTACCAGAAGCGCGGACAGCCTTTAATAAAGGAGAAGGCTTAAAGCTAGCAATACCTTACCCTACCTAAGAAGAAAGCTTTTATTAACTTTATATTACATATAAATGCAGTTAGAACTCCTATACGTGTAAAGTATATACTTGCGCTTGCCTTTTGCATTGCTTACTGCTGTACTACAAAACAACCCTCTAAGCTACTAAAGAAGAATTAGCCTTAGGCCTTACATAACTGCTACCTACAGATTAAGTTAAAGACAAACAGGCCTATGCCCTAGAAGCGTTATAATAATAGTATATATAATAAGGTAGTGCACTAGTTTAATGTGATTAAGAAGGAACTTTATAAACTAGAAGTCTTACTAGAGAATGTCTATAATATAGATAAGATAGGCATTATGCTTTCTATGCTTAGCTCTGTTAAAGTCCTTACAGGTAAAGATAATTAACAGGACTATAGAGGAACTAGCATAAAGCGCATAATAGTTACTACTAACGTACTTTACAGGCGAGTTGCTTACACACCTAAGTTGCTTACTTTTACTAAGACCCTACTACACTACTCTTTTTACACTAATATATTTCTAATAACACTACTTAAATGTGTTAAAAAAATGTTAAATGCAGCTTATACTTTAAGCTTTTAAATAAAATGTAACACTTTTTAAATAATATGCTATAGCTATTTATAAAGTTTTTTAAAAAATAATAAGTAACTAACACACTAGACAACATTTTTAAGCTAATTATATAGCTAATTTATAAAAGCTAAATAATAATAAAAAGTAGGTAATTATTTAGCACATACTTAAGCTAGATATGTAAGAATTTCCCCTCTAGCTAGTAGCTATAGCTAATATAGCTAATTCTTTACACACTAAGTGTAATATAGGCTATATTAGCATAAACTAGCTTAATATATTTATTAAGTGCTACTTAAAGCTTAAAGTAAAGTTTAAGTGTAAGTATAACTATAAAAAAGCTTTTTATAAAAATTTTATAGTAATTTAAAGCTAGTTTAACTTTATAAAGAATATTAAAGCTAAGTATAGCATCTAAAATAATAATATATATAACTTTAATAAAATAAAGTTTATAATAGGCTAAATATCTACTAAAGCAGTTATTAAAATACTATAATAGTTTATAAATAATCTGTAAAAGCAAAGCTTGTGTTACAATCCTTACTCCGGGAAAACGGTGCGTTCCGGAGTACAACGGCCTATATAGTGTTAGTGGAGAAAGGATGAGAACTTAGCTGGATCAGGTGTACAGTCTGTTGAGCAGAGTGAGGGATAGTTGGAGTTTAGGAGGCAGGCTGTAGTTTGTCCCTATAGCTGTATAGGTAGCTAGGTGTTACTAGTTAGGTAGATAAAAGTTAGAGGTATATATGTTATAAGATATATAAGGCAGCTTAATTTTTTTTAGAAAGAATTTAAGCTTTTTAGTTTATTATAAAAAATAAACTAAACATTAATTATAACTTTTAAACTATAGTTAAGATTAAGACTATATACATAGTAGTTGCATGCTTGCATGCTTGCATGCTGTTTTCCTTTGTAGCCTGTAAGCGCGTAAGCCTGCAGTGCTTTATTAGATAGCGCATTCTGCTAAGCATTTATCTATAAAATAGCGCTATTCCTCTTCTATTTAGTTATAAGGTCTGCTAATTATAGAGTTAACTGTCTTCTATCTACTATGCTTAGAGCTGTGTGCAATAGCAAGCTAAGTTATTACAGTCTATTTATTAGCTATAACACGCAGGCTTTTCTTTTAGTTAGTGTCCTTACTATTATGTTCTTTTTTTTATAAGTGTTAGGTTTTCTTTTTAGCTAGTGTGTGTTCTTCTATAAACGCCTAATGTACGCTTATTCTTTTTAACTATGCTCTGCTAGGCTCCTTGTCTTTCTGCCTCTGTTTGTTGCCTTTAAACTGTTGCTTAACTTAATCTACTTTATTGTACAAAAATGCGTCTCTGCAGCGCTTATTATTTAAGTAGTTTCTCTTATGTAATGTCCTTATTATTAGACAAGTGTGTAGAATGTGTTTAAAAGAGGTGTTATTATAATGCGTTTATGTTAGATGTGTCCTAGAATTGTTTAGAAAGGGAGCAGAAAAAGTTATAAGTAAAGTTAAAAAAGGCTTAAAAAGATAAGATGTGTAAGAAGAAAAAATTCTTAGCACATTTATAGTTTTCTATAGCCTGTTAAAAAAGGGTGTAGAAGTAACTTAATCTTTTAGCAGATTAAAAAGTAAAATATCTAAAAAAAAACTTTTTATTACTAGATAAGCTTAAAGCGCTAAAAGTAAAAGTAGAAGGTTATTTCTTTTCTTAACTAGCATTAAAAAAAAGCAGTCCCCCTATATTATAGCTAGCTAATGCTGCAGTAACTTTAACTAATAAGGGTATTTTTAGATCTAGAGAGCTTTTGCCTAGTTAGTTTAACCTAAAAAGTGCAAGTAATATTTCTATAACACCTTTTAGGTGTTTTAGAGGTTTGTAACAGGTTCTTAGGTGTTTTTACAGGTTAAGTATTTTACTTATTTTATTAAGTAATAGTTTTTTTTTTATTTAAGATTTTTTTAACTTTATATTTAAGTTTCTTTTTATCCTATTTTTAAGTTGCTAATAGGATATTTTTAGGTGCTAGTTCTAGCTTAGAAATGTAGAACTATAAGAAGATTTTTATGTTTTTTAGTAATTTAAGCTTGCATGCTTCTAGGCAGGTTTAAATAACTTTATAGAGCTTTATTTATTTTTTAGCTAGCTTCTATGCTAGTTAAGAGTTTTTAAAGTTTATAGTATCTAAATATATATAATTAT